ATTGTTTTATTTGAGTTCTTCTTCCACATCTGCTGTTGACACCATCACGCATCAAGCAGGAGAAATAATTTCCAGAAAACTGGACTAAATACATTTCTACGGCACTGGACTCAGATGAAAGTAAAAACCACATCTCTAAAAATACAAAATCAAAGCTTTCTTTCATCAGCAAGTGTTCAATAACTCATATTCTTCCCTCAATTCTGTTTCGTAAATAACATTTGAGTTTGCGTGAATTGATCTTTATCAGTCTGGGATCACTATCGAAAAAACAGAAAAACCTTTCCATGAGGCAGCGGTCATGCCTCCAAGAAACAAATTCATCACACTCCTGAAATACATAAAGAGGGCCTGAGGTATTTGTGCTGTGGGCTGAGTGTGAATTTGTTAGGTGATTAAAAGCTAAATATAGACTCCTGTCTGCTCCGAGCTGCAGACTGGTGACTCAGGGGCAGACCGTCTTTCTCCGGTCGCTCTTCCACCACAGTGGGTTTGACAGGAGACAGGAATCAAAATGCATATTGGAAACACGATCATGACCTGGGGACTCTGTTAAACTCATTCTCGTTTGTTCAGTTAATTTGCTGTGATTGAATCATTTACAGAGATGCACACAAAGTAAATTTATAAAGATCATCTGGTAGTGACGGGTCTTCAACACTTAATGACCTCTGACCTTTGTGACCTCAGCGGATCTACGCTTTCTAAGACAGCAGCTTGTTGCTCGCCCAACAAGTCAAGTTCAGATGAGCAGGATTACATGTAGTTTTGATAGTTAACAAACATAAAATACTCACTTATATATATATATATTTATACTTTTGTAAAGTTAAAGTAGTAGTACAAATAAGTAAAAAGTCCTGCATTGAAAACGTCATTAAAGTAAGTATGTACATCATCATTATCATCATTAATGGAATAATATTTAGTTGTTTCTTTGTAAAACGGGTTTGAGTAAAGAGTTGTGGATATTTTTGTACAAACTATTTTGATTTAAAACAGTTTAAATGTGAGTTGAAGGGAGAAATGTTCCCTGAAAAGCACGGAGGTGTGTTTGGCTCTGCAGTGGAAACATGGCTCCTGACTGAGTGACGGCTTCAGGCCTCCAGTCGGTCGTGCCAACAGTTTAACTATCACCCATCACTCCTCAGCCACTGGACCTGAGAGCTCAGCACTCATGTACTGAGCTCTGTTTGAAGACTCGCTGCCAAATGTCCTGTGCAAAGTCATCCTGGCAAAACGTCTCTGTGGTTTTAAAGTCTCAGCTGTGAATCTTGACGTATCACCTCGTTGTTATATCAAATAACGAATTAAAACCAAACTTATCCGAAATCTGAACATTTGAACAAACCTAAAGTGACCGAAAGCATCTTTGAGAAAAATGTACTTGAAGTGTACTTTGATTTTTTTGGGGGGGGTTGTCCCATCCATTAACACGGAGGAGGTTCATATTTCAAGAATAGTAAACCCCCCCCCCATCATGTATCGCTCTGTGTTGTAAACTGTCTCTCAGCCTCGGTTCAGACCTGAGTTTGTGATCGATGTTTGTGGGACTGGTTTTAATTATTCCTGGATGTGGTTATGAAGTGGGTTTGGCTCAGTGGCACATTCTCACATCGGCTGTATAAGAATGCAGAGTGAGGGAGCGAGGCTGCGTGCCGAGAGGTCGGAGGTCAAAGAGTCTGCAGAGAGAGCGATGCCACAGAGGCTCAGAGGCCCGGCTGGGCTGATGTCTCCTAACTCTCTGCCCCCAGAAAGCCTGATAGAATGAAGCCAGTCCACACGAAACCCATTGTTGATCTAGTTATTAATGATTTGAAAAAGTAGCATCAATAATAAAAAATCTGTCCATATTTGAAAATAAAAGAATTCAAAATTTGCACATGGTTGTGGCTCATCATCATCATCATACAACGGAAAAGCAAAACATTTATTAAATCTAATAAATAAGATTGTGTGTGATTTTAAAATCAACCAATCCACGTACGGAAAATGAAAAATGCAAATGTTACTTTTGAGATTTTTTGGAAAAACATGTTCCTCTGCTCAGGAGTGTTTTTGATTGATTGATTGATTGATTGATGATGAGTTGGTCTTTTAAACTTGAGATGAACCAACTGACCAATTGAATTATGGGGCAGATTTTTCCCCTTTCTTTGACTAAGTTTTATGATAAATTAATCATTTATTTTACTGTAAGAACCAGACAATCGTGTCGGATTGTTTGGCCTTGGTGGAGATCGTCCTAGATATGATTTGTAAGAATATCACTCATGGTTTGTCTTGATGATGTCAAAGTTTTGTTGATTTTCTTAATCTCACATCTGTCACTGTTTGTGTTTATGTGTCTAACATGTCTTTTCCTTCAGGTCAAGGTTCAGGATTCATTTCTCACGTCTTCATTTCTGTGAACTCAAGTTTGAACTCCACAGTTCTGCTCTGACGTGTTTGAATCTGTGACTTTTATTCGTAAAGCAAAAGCACCGACAACAAATATGGTACAAAAAATTTATTTAGTAACAGTTTTGTAAACATTTGAGGTAAATGAACATTTACATCAACTTGTTCTTACAAAAGAATCATTCATACACAAGGCACTTCTCTTGTTTAAGACAGCTTTGAAAACAGGCTGCTGCTGCTGCTGCTGTTCTGAGCATCGTGAGATGTTTCCTACTCCCTGACGAGCCAGAGAACTCATGCTCTGCATGAAACTTAAAGAGGAGAGAGTTCGGAGGAGGGGTGGGGGGTTGGGGGGGGGGGCGACATCCTGTCAGGGCCTCGTACAAGGGGGGGTGGGGTTTAGGGGTGGGGGGGGGACCAGCTACTCAGCTCACACTGTCTCAGCGGTCGTCTGATGTGACGTCCAGAGAACAAACTGAGTGAACACAGAAAACACCCCAACTGCTGCTTCTCTCTCTCGCTGCTGTTCTGTTCTTTTATTCTTTAAATCTTCAAACTCGTCCGAGCTCGAGATAAATGACAGTTATTTTTTAAAACACTGACTTTTCTGTGAAGAGCTGATGCGTGTTTTTCATTTTTAAGACATTTTCTTTCCTTTTAGGATCATAGTGGATCACATTGTTTGACGTCACTCTCTCTCTCTCTCTCTCTCACGCTCTCTTGCTCTCGCTCGCTCTCTCCCTCTATTTCTACCAATATTAGCATCGTAGAACAGCAATTTTCTTTCCTTTTCCTAAATGTGCAAATCTTTATCAACTACCAAAATGTAAACTTTAGGAATCAAAAAAAAAAAAAAAATTTTTTTTAAAACAACAAAGATTTCTTTTTCTCTTTTTTTGTCATTTTAAACAAGAAACATGGATTTGGAAAAGGCTGCGCTCAGCTGCACGTTGTGTCGCTGTATATGCTCCTCTCTGTTCCTGTTTGCACTTAAAGTCGTAAGAAACAGTGTGAAACATGGTGGGTACAGATACACCATGAGTACCATCCTTTTTCTACCCCCCCCTCCCCCTTTGAAATTTAATTAAATCCAACAAAAATAAAAAACAGCTGGTACCACTACATTGCTCTTTCTCCAGTAACCTGCACACGAACTGCTGAAAAGCTACTGTTTCGTTGAAATGCTTTAATTAATCCTGTTGTTGTGTCCCGATGTGTCTGATGAGTGTAGCTGAATGATGCAGTGAATAATTGTCGTAAAGGTTTAAAAGAGAAGAATCATTTCAAAGTGAGTGCCTGGGATGTGAATGAACCAAACAGCACAGTGACACGACAGAGACCAGACGACTGTGACTGCTGATTTAAAGGTTGTTTCTTTCTAAAGGTTTCTAAGAATCAAGATGAACACAACAAAGTAGAAGCCTGTCGACTGCACCGCGGCGTCTCAATGCTCACAACGCCAGTCACTTTGTCGTCTTTGGTTTTTAATCGCAGCTGTTCCGCAATCACAAACTGACTACTACAGTTATGCAATTTATGAGCGAAATTCAATTCAGTGTTTAAAAAAATAGCACTTTTCAGAATAAAACCCGATGAAGAGGCACGTGAAGTGTGTCGTGGTGAAAACGGTTTTAACTCCGACAGTTGCTCTTTCGTTATAATGGTTAAGGGGGTGGGGGGAGTTGTGGGTTTGCCTGCCAACAATCTAACTACAAAAAAAAAAAGAAAAGAGCAGTTTAAAGTCGAACCCAAGAGCTGGAGAAAATTGTGTTTTTTTTATTTCGTCTGTTTTTTGAGATTCTCCAGATTCTTCTTGAGGCAGTAACTTGTCGTTTGTGCAGCAAGTGAAGAGCGTTTTTCTTTTTCTGGCACGTTGACCTAAGGCGATACTGACAGAGGCAGGCGGCAGGGACCTCTTTTTCCTCTTTGGTAAACTAAGAGCATGGCGGCAACGTTTTGATTTCGCAGTTTGGACTCATATCCCGCCAACAACCTCACTTATCTTACTTTAAAATGAGGACTAGCCGACTCTGCCAAGTCGAGTCGGTGAGTTGCAGGACTGCACATGCTGCCATGCACAACTACAAGAAACACAATTCATCATGATTCAAATTTAAAACAAAAACAGGTGATCGCAAGTGCTGCAGCTAAAAGGTCAAACACTGTGTGGCCACACATCGACCAACTGAACAACACCAGCTACTTGTGCTTCCTCCTGATCAAATGAAATGGAAATATATTCAGGCGTCGTTTGGACAAATGATCCTTTTCATTCGTAAACACCATGAAATCTTCCGCCTTCAACCAAACATGATGCTAAGTCCATTTGGATGCAAAACATTGCGGCGTCCTCGGCTCGGGTGGAGCCGTCTGACTTTCCTTCACTGCATCGTCACAGTTTGTGTGCACGGATGAAGACAGAGACACAAACCTTTCCTGGACAACTCTGCAACTCACCGACTGCACGAAATGAACAGCTGCTGCTGATCGAGTCGTTTCACATTTACCTAAACGATTTTTTTGCTTTTCTTCTTTCCTGTCTCTTGTCGCCTCGCCTTCTTTTTCTGTTTGTTTTGTGTATTTTTTTTTTTTTGCTTTTTCTTTTCTTATGCGTGTGTGTGATAGTTGTGTTTTTGTCTGAGAATCTTTGTGTTCCGGCTGCGGTCGAGGGATGAGGGCTGTTGGTCAGGGAGGGTTCGGGGACATGAAAGTGAAGGAAGAGATTCAAACAGCCAGGTCGCTCGGCCTGGCCCTGACGCTGCTGCTCTTGCTGGCCCGACTGAGCCGCCGAGGGTCTGTGCTGACCATTACTGGAGGCTCGTGCAGCTCCACCGTGGTGGTGGTCACATGACCTTCCTCCTGCTCGCTCTTCCCCCCGCCCCAGCTGCCCGCGTTGGAGGTGGCGCCTGGGCTGCTGCTGCTGCTGCTGGAGGCGGCAGTCGCGGTTGTGTTGGTGATGTTGGTGTTACTGGTGGTGTTGCTGGTGGGCAGGAGCAGCGCAGCATCGACGGGCGGCTGCTGCTGCTCATTGTCGGTGCTGGTGGTGGAAGAGGGGGATGGGGAAGGGGAGGCGGCCTTCATCTCCCGAGTCTGCTGCTCGGTGGCCAGATTGGCCCAGTTCTGCTGCGTGGCCAGCCTGTGGTTGTTGTTGTTGCTGATGTAGTAATGGGAAGAGGGCGAGGGCTGGCGGAGGGAGTCCTTTTGCTGGAGGTCGTCCATCTTGAACTCTGCTGCCGAGGGCACAGCTGCGGGCCCCATGGGTGGCAGGAACGCCCCGCTGCCCGCCGTAACATCTGTGTAGTTGGGAGGGTAGCTGAGGCTGGATGGGGCAGTTCTGGAGCCCGAGGCCAAACACTCAGGCTCCGCTATGTTGACGCAGCGCAGCGACCCGCGATCGGGGGCAAACTCGTTTGTCATGCCCTGTTTAACTTTCTTCCATCCAAGGTGATAGATCTCTAACAAATTCAGCAAAAGAGACACGCAAGCCACCACAAGCATAAATATAATAAAAATAGTCTTTTCAGTGGGCCTCGATATGAAGCAGTCAACGGTGTTGGGGCAGGGCCAACGTGCACACTTGTACAGGGGCCTCAGCTGGAAGCCATAGAGGAAATACTGGCCCAAAATGAATCCCACTTCAAACAGGGTCTTGAAAATAATGTTGAACACATAAGTGCGCAGCAGTGCGCCTCTGATGCGGATTTTGCCATGTTCATCCCTGATTGGCGGCTTCTCCTTCTTGCCGCTGCCTCCTCCTCCTCCTCCTCCTCCTCCTCCTCCTCCTCCAGCATCTCCACCGTTTCTATAAAGGAGTTCTTTCTCCTCCTGGAACCTGTTCGCCTTGCGCAACTCCTCCTCCTTCTCTTTCCGCTTCTCCTCCATGCGGACTATGTGCAGCACGTGGCCCAGGTAGATGAGGGTCGGCGTGGACACGAAGATGATCTGCAGCACCCAGAAGCGGATGTGCGAAATTGGGAAGGCCTCGTCGTAGCAGACGTTCTCGCAACCGGGCTGCTGGGTGTTGCAGGTGAAGTCGGACTGCTCGTCGCCCCAGACCTCTTCAGCCGCGGCCCCCAGCACCAGGATTCTGAAGATGAAGAGGACAGTCAGCCAGACTTTGCCGATAACCGTCGAGTGCTCCTGAGCGTTCTCCAACAGCCGCCCCAGAAAGCTCCAGTCGCCCATGCTTCAAGATTTTCTAGCCTATGGAGAAAGTACAGGCTGGAGTGGACGAAGAGGAAAGAGGGGATGTCAGAAACAGAGAGAAGAGACAGTCAGAGAGAGGTGAAGAAACGCGTATGAATCTTATTGAAGGTGCGGCCTCACCCGAAGGTTAAACACCCTACACATACGAACACACGAGACGACACAAGGACGTGGACGAGAGTGGACGTGTCGACTACGACTCCACATGTTGCTCTTTCTCATAAAACGCTGGACAGAACACGGCCTTTTACAGAGAAACTGCCACGTCGGCGTCAGATAATCGAAAACAAATCAATTCACCGGCATTCGCTTCAAACACAGACGCTTTTCAGCAGCTGGTGTGTAAACCACCTGTTTAACCCTGGTTCACTGTCCCTCTCTCTCTCTCTCTCTCTCTCTCTGTCTCTCAATGTCAGGCCTAGCTCGCTCTCTCACCTGCTCGCTCCACTGCCCAGCAGGCATGTGCTGAGATCAACATTATAATGTTCGAAAACAGCGTTTAGCAGAGACGGGGCTCTGGTGTGGCATACACACACGTGCACAGACACACACGCACATACACACACAGAGACAAATACCGGCATTCACACGTGCACACATCCTTTCTTCCCTCTCTCCGTCCACTGTAACACTAAAACAACACACATCTCTATTTGCTACTGTAATTACAGAAGATACAGTTATAATGATATAATAGTAATATATTTATGTAACTTCTCATGGGATGTGGGAGTTAAATATTTTTACATTTAAAAAGGTGTTGATTTAAATTTGAAAGTATTTAAACAGATGATTTTATTACAAATTTTAGATTTTTTTTTCTTCAAATATTCAACATCAAGCCCAGATTGTTCAACCAATAATATATAATAGGATAAATAATGAGATAAACATATTCTCACATTTTAAAACCTGAAACCAGATGTTATTTAGCAAATATTTATGAAAAAATTATAAAATTAATCGTTTATTTTGTTTATTGACAAATCTATACAATATGATTTTAATGAGATTTTGAGATTTAGATTTTAAAAAAAAATTCATTTATAGAAACAGATGGCAAATTTCACCACAGTGGGATTGATAAAGGATTATTTTACTTTAAAGTTATTTTAAATCTCAGCTAATCTGTGAAAGCTGGTTGTGCCTCTGATGTCAGGTGAAGTTTTTACCATAAACTCAAACTATTCATGCATCAAATTCAACACACACACACACAGAGAGCGAAGAGGAGAAACTTACTAAAATATTCTTGTATTAAAGATAATAAATCCATCGACTAGCGTTCACAATATGTATAACACCTGGAAGACAAAGACATTCAAGTCATATGGTTATTCATTCAATTTCAGTATCATTTCAAATGAAAAAACAGTGAGCGTTAAATATTTAAAACTAAAATAGCTCCACAATAAAAACATTTGCTCTGACTTATAAAAATGAACATCACAATGAATGACCTAAGATCTACAAGAGTATGTTTTCTAACCAAAGTTTTCATGTGAAATATCTGATATTAATGCAGAGATGTGTAAATATTGGGGAGATGAGCTCAGACATTAAAACTCTGGGAGTCAGAAATATCTATGAGTCAGTAACTCAGTAAATTCTCTGGGTTTCTCAGGTATTTGAGGCATTTATGTTGCATGTTGGTGAATGTAACAGACAGAGCCAGGTTCAAATACAAAGCCATAGCTGCAGGTTCACAATACAGAGTGTGCCAGAGTCCCCAGACTCCCTTTAACGCGCCACGAGCTTTGTCAGGCTTTTGTCTCCCTCTTTAATTTACCTGATAACAGGCCCTGCTGCGTTTACGTGCTCTTTCTTCACTCCCACATAACATGCACAGCAGTGTTCACCCGTCATACCTTCAGACCGGAGATGTCATACTTAAACACGAAGAGCAAATCCTTGTGCCATCACCGGTGCCATCATCAGAGCGCGTCGACCTCCTGTGGCTGCAACGACCCCCTGTCTCTCTGCCTCCCTGATCCCAAACCCCCGCAACCTGTCGCCTCTCTGACGGCTCCTCAAACTCTTTTTCTAAAAGCTGCCACACAAACTAAGTCGTGCACACTCTTCTCCAGGCGCGTGGTCAGGTCTGCTCCTTCCCGGGCCCGTGCGCAAAAGTTCTCCCCCTGTTGTTGTCAGTGTTTGGAGGCGGCTTGGAGTCGGAGATGGGGCTCGGTCAAACGGAGCTGCCTCCCGTTTCCAGCCATGTCTGGACTGTCACATTGTGTGACCATGCATGAGTGAATCCACAGAGTCATCAGCCTGTCCGGAGTCACACCACGCCCCTGCCAACCTCACAAACCCACTCCAGCGTGTGCGTAAAAGTTGTCGCAAAATGTGCCATCAGAAATTTTGCTCTTAAATCTCTCCAAAGAAAAAAAAACTCGTGACAAGTTCTCCTACAGTTGTTGAACTCCAGTAACAGTAAACTTACAATTATGAAATATTAAACGGTATAAGTGGAAACATGTGAATGAGCATGAGGCGACAATAAACTCACATGAGAAGCTTTAGATTCACTGTCCAAACATAACATTACTTGTTAAATCTTTAAATCTTTCCAAATTAAAAAAAGTAATGAAAAGTTTTCCTAAAACATCAGTAACTGTTAAGTTATATAAAATATGAACAAGTATGTTTTAAGAGAAAATGAATGTTGAATGACCATAAGTTGACAATAACCTCACATGTGATGCTTTCAGTGTAAAAAGAGCATTTTTTGGAATAAATAAAAAATTAATAAAAGCAGGTTATTATTATTATCGGATCTAAAATGAAAAATCAATAAAAGAGAGGGAAAAACTCCCCCCACCTCCTTAGTTCCACCTAGTGGAAGACATGAGCTGAGCTGACAGAAAACAATGAACCACACAGTTTCTGGTTTTACTGATTTATGACCAAACAAAGTCTCAAAGAGCAAAATGACTTCAAGGATCAAAGTGCAAGTGTAATAAAAAATATCTCAGGTACAAAACACAATCACAGACATTTCGTTTCCTTCTCACTCAGGAAGCTGTTAAGAAGCAGAATATTCTCAGAGAAGAATGTTCAGAACGTCTCAGGAGGATCTTCAGGAGAACCCTCCCTGATTTTTGATTTTTGATTTGTGACGGAGGACAAAGACTTTTTGTCACTTTGTGGTTCCTCACATCAAGAGGCCGAGCGGTGATCGGTGTTGTGGCTAAAAAAAGGCACATCCTGTAAGCTGATACAGGCAGTGAGTTCACACACACACACACACACACACACACTCTGCGACAACAACACAAGTCTAAATAAGACAGGAGCAGGTCTGGGCTGATCAGAAAAGCCTCATATCATCATAACTGCTTAATATCAATGATGAAGCAGTTTTTGAAGTTTTCTGCTCAACTTGATAATCCTGCTTTTTGAAATAAACTCGGCAGGTAACAGGGTCGTCAGGAGGCAAAAACAAACGTCAAAAACTATTGAATCAAATACAAATAATGCATGTTTGTAAATCACCAACAGCTCGACAGATTTCACAAATATTCAAGTTTCGCAGCTTGAAATCAAAATATCTGCTCGTTTTATCACCTTTCTGTGTTTTTGATTTAACATTTCATTAGTTTTTGCCTCCTTGTTAAGACTCTAACATCCAGATCGACTCTGCAAATTCAGTTCTTAGCAAACATTTCACATTTATGCAACATTATATTTACCCTAAACATTTACAATTCTCATATTCGTACCAAATACACAACATAGTCTCAGCGTTTAGTTGTTTTTTTTCCTTAAAATGAAAAATTTCCATTTCAAACACAGTTCAAGTAAAAAGACAGAAAAGTTTGTGATTTGATCGAACGGCAAAGAGCGTCACATCTATCATTAAAACCACTGAAGAGTTTCAGATAAGATTCCACCACGTTAAATAAATTCTTCATCAGTGTAATTGTACCCTGTGCAGTACAGCCCTCAGTAGTTAACAACACACAAGAATTAAAAAAACAAAATCATTGAAAGAAAGTCATTTAACAAATGTCAACCTTGATTTTGATTTAACAGTGAAAAATCAACAACGGTTAAAAATGTACTTAACATTTAAAATTAAATGTCTGGAAAACTACACTCTGAAAATCATCATGAATTCTGCTTCATTTGTCATTAACTTCATTTTTCTTCCGTCACAGTCAAACAGAATGATTCCCACTGTCACCAGCAGATGTCAGTGTGGACTCATGCTTCGTTGGTTCGGGACAGTACGACACATGCAAGCAAAATTCAGAGTGTGAGCGGGAAACAGAGACGAGGACGAAGAGGTGGACGACAGAAATAGAAAATCTACGCTTGTTGGTTTGATCTGCGACTTTCATGCGAGGACAGAAGGAGAGACGTGTGACCTGCCGGGACAAATTTGAGGCCAAGTGTGGGAATAAACACAGAGACTGATGTAGAGATGAGGTCAAACATCAACTAAACAGATTTCTGTTAAATGTCCTCGTCTCGAACAATATGCACAAACGAATGATGCATTGTGGGTACCGTTTATGGCTGCTCTTCAACAGGCGGTCTTGTTGCTGGATGAATCTGTGCACGTGGACAGCAGCATCTCGTTCTTCTTATTCTGCGCGAGGGCATTGTCCCGCATCACGCCGTCAGTGTTGGAGAAACGCTTATTCTTATTGGACCTGGCTGAGCACCTCATGAGCGCCTTGCCGATGAGGTAGCCCAGCTCAGCCACGTTCAGGATCATGCAGATGGTCGACGAGGCCACCATGAAGATGGTGAAGATGGTCTTCTCTGTCGGCCGGGAGATGAAGCAGTCCACCTTGTTGGGACAGGGCCACTGCTCACACTTCACCAGCCGCGGCATCTGGAAGCCGTCGTAGACGAAGTAGAGAGCGTACATGAAGCCGCCCTCGAAGATGAGCCTGAAGAACAAGCTGCTGGTGTAGGTCCACCACAGGGGGCCTGCGATCGGCAGACGCCTCCTCTTCAGAGTCTCCAGGTCACTGTCCGTCGTCTTATCTGTAGACGACAGCATGGTCCTCTTGTCCCCACGCTTCCTGTAGGCCACGTGCATGGCCACCAGCAGAGCCGGCGTGGACACGAAGATCAGCTGCAGGCACCACAGGCGGATGTGCGACACGGGAAAGAAGTGGTCGTAGCAGACGTTCTTGCAGCCCGGCTGCTGCGTGTTGCACGTGAAGTCGGACTGCTCGTCCCCCCAGACGCTCTCAGCAGCCAGGACCAGAATAGTGATGCGGAAGATGAAGAGGACAGAGAGCCAAATCTTTCCCAGACTGGTGGAGTGTTTGTTGACGCCGCCCAGCTGGGCGTAGAGCGCCCCCCAACTCATTGTGGCGACCTGTGGAGGAAGGTCAGCAGAAGGTTAACAGACTGAAAAACTCAAATTCAGTGAGTGACACACAGAACTGCTAACTGTTGGCAGTGGTGTCCCCAGCTGTGCCATGTTCCTCGGGTGGACACAGGATTTTATTTCCACATCCTTTAAAACGGTGAAATACGGCACCCTTCAAGTTTGTTCGTTGGTTTTTATGTCAAGAGGATTTAACGAAAACTACGAAACAACAACAAAAACTACAATTCCCACCTCGTGCTTCAGTTTCAGTCAAGTTGGTGTTTTAATGTTTCTGAAAACAAAAAATTTCTCTACGTTGTAGAGAATGAAATTGAAAATTCAATAAACAGTAATTGGAAGCCTGGGTTTCAGATTCTTCCACAACAAACGCTGAAAATGATTTTTTTATCTGCCGTCTTTGATTTTAGGATTATTTGTATTTGTCTTGGATTTTAAATGACATCATATTAATTCTCTTCTTGACTTTGATGTTTTGTTTTCTTGATTTCATTCTTCGTAAAGAACTTCGTCACGGCGGTTTTAAAACGTTCTACATCACAAAGTCAGTATTAAAAAGTGCTGAGGTCACTGGAGTCGGGAAAACTGAAGATGTGTCATTTTAACGGTCAGAGGCGATGTGGCCCCCAGCCCCTCAACAATCTGTGCACGCCACTGCCTGTAACTTCTGTCTGTGAAGAATCCAACTTCACCACTTTAACCATTATTGATTATTATACAAGCACTCACCGCCTGTTATTAGCACCATCATCACTTTTAAAATATAAACTACTGTCAGAGGCCACTCCTATAATCTCCACT